ACTTACACCTCCATCCTTATGGTGTCAAATTCAACATAATCATCTAAATTTTGTTGAATGTGCTCTAGTTTGTACTCGTATTGTGTAAAGAATACGGTTTCTGATGCACCACAATCTGATATATACAAGCCAAACAACACATCTTATGATCATTTTGCTTCAAAATCTAGAGCTCGAATGGGATAAAACGGGTACAAAAGTGATAATATTCCATATAATCAAGAAGATTTCACTAAATTTGAAACCGCAAGGGTGGACGTGTAAGAAGATTTATAATTGAGAGGGGTGATTGTAATTACCCAAACAGGAGGGGGTTTTCGTAATTTGACCATACCTCAAGGGGTGGTTGTAATTTACCCAAGTTAAAAAGAAGACTGTGAATAGAATAGAAAGGACATACCAACGTAAGTACAACCCTGTGCCACCTGTTACTATCGGGATACGACCTCTACTAAGAATTTCTTCTGTTTTTTCCCTTGCATCCTCGTAAAATTTTCCAACTGAATAATCTGATTATCAAAATAATTTATTGTATTAAGTTATATTACAGATGTTTTATACTCCAATGGCCCTTCGTGAACATCTGTAACTATATCTAATGTTACAAATATGTAGCAAAGTAAACGAGAATTCATTGAAGTGTCGGTTTTCAGGTTACGAGATCCGACTCTAGTAGTTGCATAAACAACAGCTTATAAATTACCTTAATTTCACTAACGGTGACTAAATTAGCAACGCAAACTCAATTTAGTTACATACAATACTTATACTAGGAGATAATACGAATTATAAGTCTTAACATATGACCAGCAAATGGATAATAATAACGAAAAAAGGTTAAAATGATGTTAAGCATTCTTGAAATTGCTTTCTCAATAATCGGAAATATTCGAGGGTCGTATTTACCCAAAAATAAAGTAAAAACATCACACAAGCAAGACTTTGTATCCGCGGCAGAAAATTTCATCGAGACGAAATACGTAAAAAAATTCAAAACTATCGAGCAGCCATTTACTTTACCTTCAGATGGGTGCAATATGTCAACCAAATGATGTGGGACTTCCTGTCAATATACCAAACAAAGGGGAAATTGAAACAACAAACGATTTTAATCTAACAATTTCCGTACAATCACATCTACATATCAATGTATAAATCTACATTTATCATGTTTGAACCTATAATGTAATATATATATACACATATATAAAATAAAAAAAAATAAAAAAAAAAAATAAAAAGAATAAAAAAAAAAAACCTGTCTTTCGTCAATTGAAGGTTTTGCAGACCCAATATCAAGACCTTTGTATACCTGCCACACATATTCCAATACCAACAGACGAATTAATGAATTAATGAATTAAGAAATTACTCAAATACTTTTGGAAATAAATGACAATTGACAGGGGGGTAAAAAAACCTGGACCGAGTCAGCACTGATGATTTCTCCGTTGAGTCGTTTGGCGAGTTCCAATGAGAGCCTGCTTTTGCCGGCGCCGGTAGGACCGGATATTACAATTACTTTCTGCCGCTCGCCTTTCCTTTTCGGGGGCGGCGCCGCCGAGCAGGTGGTGGCGAAGAGTCTACATGCCTTGCGCAGTGAGGGGCGGAGGAGGAGGAGGGTGGCCCCAGTGCCGAGCGGCGCCTCCGCCGCGTGAGGCAGGCGGAGGTAACTCATCCGGAAGCCTCCAACTCTAAAGCCACTCATCATTTTTGGTAGACAAAAAACCTGCAATTTGCTTCCCTCTTTCAAATATCTATTTTTCCAATATTTAATTTCATTTTAATTAAAAACCCTTTGTAAAAATATAACGTTTTCTTTACATTATATTCATTGATGAGTAAGAAATGTTAACTCGTAGATCCAATCACAAATCGAATTATAAAAATATCAGAATAGTAAATCGTAAATTTTTAATTCTTTTAAAGATAATATATATTATAATGATATTTAAATATTATAATGAAATTATATAGTGAAATAAGAATAAACTATTTCTTTAAGAATTTATAAACTATTTTTAATTGCATATACAAATGTATATATAATAAATTTAAAAAAATATAAAGAATTGACTGAATTAAATATAAATAAATACTCGTCTAATACAAGCTCATTTATGCCATTTTTAGCTTTCATAAAACCTTATTTAGATCATGGGTTAAGGGTTTATTAATAATGGATTAGTGGTTGAATATTTATTTTATTTGACTAATCCACAAACTTATTATCTTAGTGTTTGGTTGCTCGCTTAATATGTGCATGTTGTGGACGCGTGCTGAAATCTATAAATATTCGTCCACATTGCCATTTCTACTGTGGAGTTTAGAAGAGAAAAATGAGAGCTTTTAAGGAGAGAATAAGAAAAATAGATTTGAGTTATTTATATATCTGATATAATTCAGCCATGCATCGAAGTTACTGCTGAACTAACCGGAGTACAAACTCCAATTGTGCATGCTGATGAAGTTGGTGATGCAATACATGAAGATTGTCTTGTTCCTACACAGTGCGATGAAGGTGTATACTCGAGTTTAATTATTGATGGAGTTGGTTGTACCCATGTGACTAGCTATACTTCAGTGGGAATGTTATGTGTATCAACTTTGGAGTATTCTAGACCATATGAGCTACAATTGTTTGAAGATGATCGTGAAAGATGGTTTCTATATGCTCCTTTTTATATCTGTCCGGATTCAAGGACGAATCCTTTTAAAGAGGGGGGAGTATGATACGATCCTAATAACCTCAAAGATGAAGAATTGGAAGAAGCGCAAGCGTACGAGTTTTAAGAGGATATTCGAGTTTTCCTTGGAGAAGAAAGGCTGGAATCAAATGTTTGAGATGTGTATGGTTTGGAATTGGAAGAAAAGAAAGAGAAGAATTCGTTGGACAAGTCGAATTCCATGCATCCGAGATTCTCGCCTATTCTGGCAGAGTTTGCCATTCGAGTTATAACTCTCGCATCTGAAGTCCATTTAATCTGATTAAAAATGATTCGGAAAGCTAACCGAGAGATCTATAAAGTCCATTTAATCTGATTAAAAATGATTCGGAAAGCTAACTGAGAGATCTACAACTTTCATGTTTTGAGCAAAGAGATATTCGAAGTGGAACAGTGTCGAAATTGAGCTTTAATTGCATGCACGTGCACAGCCCAATGTCGCGAGTTAAGAAGGGTGACCGAGAAGCCGACTTGAAGATCAAGCTATCTAATTTATTTATGCACGTTTTTAATTTAGTATTTATTATGTTTTTATTATTTTAGAGTTCTTTATGGTTAGGATTTGTTTATTTAATAGTTTCCTTATTATAGTTTAGGTAGGAGTCATTTTCCTTGTAAAAAAGGAGTCTTTTTAGACCTTATAAATAGGTTGCCAATTTGGCTTATTTTATAGGAACGAATTTTGATGATTTAAATTGAGTTTATTTTCTTTGGTTCTTTAAGAACTGTTCGAACATATCGGTGGATTCCGTTTGTTCACCCCGACTTATCAATCGAACTTTCGCAATCGATTGTGGCGTCTTCGCATACACCCTTTTGATTCCTTCTTTAGGACGGTCCGGGATTTTGATATCCGAAATATTGATATCGGGTCTCGTCACATGGTTGGCGAGGTTTGTATCAATATCCCTTTTAAAGTCTGTTGTAAGTACTCATCTTGAGTACATAGTTTGTAAGTCTAGAAATCTGATAGTTTGTGTTGAAGAATGTAGACTTGATTGTACGAAGGATCTGTGTAAGAAATGTTAATTCCTTTTCTTTTGTATTCAAGTAAATTGTAATACTGTTTATATAAGTATATTTCGCCTCTGAAGACAACCCAGAATTATTTACTTGTTAATACTAAATTATGTGTCTTTCCAATTATCCCGCTACATGTTATGTCAAGTGTTCTCACACTCCACATAACATCTTTATTTTAATTATTTACTACGACTTCATGACCATTGATTCTTTCAATAATTAAAGTCTAGTATTCTTAATTGAATTTTATCATGAAAAATGTAGTAAACTTCAATTTCTTAAAATCGTAAAAATTGTGAGTCGTAAGAATGGAATCGTATATCGTAATATAACCTGTCTTTTGACATTTAAGATTTAATCATAGATTCGACTCGATTAAGGTAGAACTCGAATTGTAAGATTTGAACCGTAAATCATAAGATTTTAATAACCCCACTGTCAAGTACAGTTCCCAACATATTTGTTGCTTTAGAACTTTTTCCAAATTATTTGTAACTTTAGAATTTTAATGATGCATTAAATACAATATTTTTTTTACCGTTTAGCACTCTTAATTAAATAAAAGATTGAAAAATAATTAGTTGATAAACAACTAATGATAGAGTATTTTAGTAATTTTCATATTTTGTTTATTATAATTCATGCATATTTATTGGTTTTTGTAATCTATGCGCAACAACTCAAAGTGACAAATATTATAAGAATAAAAAGAAGCAGTAAGTACGAAAATTATGATTTTATTTGAATAAAACGAAATAGTTGAAAGATTATTAGAAACTAAAGGGAAATAAATCAAGATTTTGAAAGCCAAAATAAATTTTTATGTTGACCAATTAAAAAATAAATAAAATAAAATAAAAATAAACTACCAACTAAATGTAATGCAATTCCATCAATTCATTACAAACATTCCAAGTAATGTTTAGTTTCTGTTACACTTTCCAACTTCACCAACCAGTAGTTGCACTACAGCCTTCATTCACAAGGAAAATATATACACAACATAAAACAACCACACTAACTGCAAAACCACCACCAGCCCCCACCACTGCTCCGCCCTCAAACCACCACCCATGACGACACGTCACCACCACCAGATCGACCTCCTCTTCCGCCTCGCACTAGCGGCACTGCTGACACTAGGTGCAACACGTGTGATACTGGATAATCTGAGGAACAACAACAATAATATTCTTCTCCGGCATATGTATACAATAAGAGTGCCTATCGAAGTTTCCGAAAAGGAAACCATTAAAGATAATTGCAACGTATTCGAAGGCAAATGGATTACGGACAACACAAGTTATCCTCTGTACAGTGAACAAAGCTGTCCGTTTTTAGTTAAACAGACGACTTGTCTGAAAAACGGGAGGCCTGACTCTTTCTACCAGAATTTGAGGTGGCAGCCTAATGCATGCAATTTGCCGAGGTAATATATAAACTAACTAAACATTATTCATCAATAATGAACAAAATTAAATTAAATAAATAAATATATATATAACCACCAGGTTCGACGGTTTGAAAATGATTGAGATGGTGAGGGACAAAAGGCTGATGTTTGTCGGAGATTCAGTGCAACGAGGCATGTTCGAGTCGATGGTTTGTTTAGTTCACTCTGCAATTCCTAGTTATGTAAAGACATCTCTTCATAGAATACCTCCAAGGAAAGTTTTCAGAGTAGAGGTAATTAATATTTATATATGTAAAGAATGAAAAAAACACAAATAGATTATGTTGTTTATAAACCTATTTTTTTCGGATTAATTTCAAATTCAGGAATTCAATGCGACAATCGAGTATTATTGGGCACCTTTCATAATCGAATCTATATCCGACCACGCTACGAATCACACTGTTTCCAAGCGTTTGGTGAAACTCGATTCAGTGGCTAAACATAGCAGAGAGTGGGAAGGGGCGGACATTTTGATCTTCGAGAGCTACGTTTGGTGGATGTACAAACCCACCATAAACGCTACGTAATAAATCTCCTTGTCTTAAAATTCTGAATTCTAAATCCCGATTTCCGGAAAAAAAAAATCGATTAAAGATTTTTTTTTTATAGATATGGATCTCTTGACAACATCCAAGAATACAATGTGACCACTGCATATAGATTGGCAATGGAAACTTGGGCAAATTGGATCGAATCGAGAATAAATCCACAAACTCAGAAAATCTTTTTCACAACAATGTCGCCCACACACTTATGGTGAGACTCCGTTTTTCTTTTCATTTTTCTTTAAATAAAAAAAAAATTAAGACAAAAGAAGTACAATTATATTTGGTGTGTAGGAGTTGGGAGTGGAAGCCTGGAACAGAAGGCAACTGCTTCAACGAAACGGGACCCGTTGAAGGATCAAAGTACTGGGGAACCGGTTCGAATCTGGAAATAATGGGAATAGTTGAAGATGTTCTTGCAAAGCTAAAAAAAGTTAAGGTAACTGTGCTTAACATTACACAGCTGTCTGAATACAGAAAAGACGGTCATACTTCGATTTACGGGGAAAGAAAAGGCAAGCTATTGACTAAAGAACAAAGATCCGATCCGAAAAATTACGCTGATTGCATTCACTGGTGCTCACCTGGAGTGCCCGATACGTGGAATGAAATTCTGTATGCACTTCTTTTGCAAGATTATCGTGCACAGTAATAATAGTAATAAAAAATTTCTCTCAAAAAAAAAAAAAAAACCGTAGCTTTTAGCTTTATCGTAAATAGATACCGTTTATCAGCAATTGTCTAAACGATTAATGGAAAAAACTAACATTCAGAGCAGCTCCCAGTCGGATTCGCTCTTAACCGAATGAATGGTTATTGAACTTGCCTCGAAATTCTGACTTGATTCCAAATCAATTTCCCCATGCAGTACGGCTAAATGCTCGTATTCCTTGGTCAATCTCTTTTGAGAGGTGAATGCACCCTGTATTACATTCTGGTGAAGAAATAAAATACGGATTTCTGTTAATTGTGAAAATATTTTTATTTTTTATTTTTTACGGTTTTTATAAACAAGTGCAAAGAGAAGATATACCTTAAAATACTTGAAATCTTTTCTTCTACGAGGTGCAGAATGGGCAAGGTCAACGTTCGAGCCAACACTTGTCGCATTGTGCTTCACTTTAGGGGAGAGGTTCACTGTTTCCATATTATCATCATCAATACCAACACCAAATTCGGACGAGGTTCCTGTAAAGTAGCGAGGATAATCATACAAATTAGTGTATGTATTCGAAATTTGGTACTAACGTTGTTCAACAAAAAAAATTCTCGAGTTTGTTAAGACTGTCAAAGCCTAGACAAACCAATGTAAAGATTCGTAATAAATGCTTAGGTGGCAGCTAATAGTTACCAGTTTCAGATGGAATTACTGCAGTTTCTGATTGATCATGTTCGTACGATTGTTCATGCCTCGTTTCAAACGAACCAAGTGGAGAATCTGGCCTATCTGTCGGGAAAGAACTACCACCTGCCAAAGTATAAGTTTGTGTTGAGGAACATATCACTGGGGAAGAAAAAGAAACTAAGAGATACAGAAACGTGAGGAGATTTTAGAGAAAGGAAACAAAGAAAATGAGTTACATAAAGCTTTATTTAAATATCTATGAAGAAGTTAGTGATTAAAAGAAATGCCAAACCGTATAATTCCGAGAGTAGAAAAGAAGGAAGCATGTCCTCGATTTTCCTTTCATAAGCAAAGTCATCAGGTTCAGCAGGAAAGCGGGAGATGTTTTCAGGCCTCTCGATTGCCAAAGTATAAGAACACTTTGTGGACGTAGAATAAGTGGATTTCGTAAACCCCATCTCTTCATCGTCATCATCACAATTGACAATTTCAGGTAATTGGATAGAGCTCGACGAATCAAAAGTATCTTTCATCGAGAACTTGCGACAAAGAGTTCCATCAGCCAAATCAATGGGTAAATCCATCTCAAGACTATAACCTTCTTCTTCTGCTTGTGGTGCATACAGGTCAATATATTCATCATAATATGGATCAAAACTTGAATACGCAAGTAACAACCGTAACTGAATCTCAGACAAAGACAAACGACAGCTCGGAATATTATTAGGTACCCACTCACCTTCAATTGAAGGGCCATCGTCCCCTTTCCGTTCGTTAAAAACCCCTTGTTCCTTCCCTTGTTCCTTTTCAATGGCTAGTTTGGAATTTTCATCACATTGACTAGAGGTTTCAGTAAATATTTCATTCATTATGACAGTTTCACTATGTTCATGTTCTCTCAAATGCTGTTGACAAGTCTCCGATTCTTGTGAAGAATCTGCATGAAGAGGCGTACATTCAATCGGCAATGGCGCATCGGAGTTTTCCGTATTATCAACGGAATCTTGATTCACCGACGGCTGTTCTTCATCAATGCAAGTAGGGTCCACTGACTGTGATTTAGGGCTTCCAATGTCCCCAATGTCCTCAAAACGGAATAAATCTTGCAACACATTAGAGTATATTCTTTTGAAATTCGTACCAACATTTTGCATCTGGTTTTCGACCAATTTCACAGGGTCCTATACAAAAACCGAACAAATTTTAACCGCTTGAACTACGCATGTTATACAGAATTACAGGCATAAAATAATAACCCGTCGCCTATTTTCAATGATAAACACACAATGCCTTGTAGTAAAAGAAACAAACCTGGCTCATAAACTCATCGACATCCTGAACAAGGGACTCGAGCTGGTTGTATACGTTTCCAGCCCATGGTAAATTTTTCAAGTCTATGCCCATTGCAACACCTACATTGTTTCCGAAACGAACAACCAATAGGATTCGATCCCTCAAATTAAAAAAAAAATTAAAAAAAAATTGATCGGTTAACGATTAACATATGCTTGTCAGCAAAGATCGGTTACGATTAAAAACTCGCGAAAATTTTCAATCTTCAGAAAGATACATTAATTTCTTAAACAAGAAAGTCCATTAATCTGATGCAAAATTACTAAATTTTTGGTAACTAAATAATTTAAAAAAAATAAATCATTATTACACCAATCTAAACAGCTCCGTATACATACAGAATTCAGAAAACCATCATACGAAAGAATCATTTTTTTTTTTGAACAATTTACGAAAAAAAACCTGTCTGTCAGAAAGCTAATCCACAACATTAATCACTTATTTGATTTCTATCTCAGATTCTGAAGCCACACCAAATAGCATTCAATCAATTCAAAAAAAATATGCGCACACCCAGATATATATATATATGCTGATTATCATCATCATCATCATCATATATATATATATATATATAGAGAGAGAAAATAAAGACGATCGAGTAAGAAAGTGAAGAAATAATACCAGTAAGGGAAAGGCAAAACCCTGGTGATGAAGGAGAAGCATAAACAGAGAGAATTATGCAGGTGACGTGCTCTATTAAACCAGGGTTTTTAATAGGTTTTTCAGATTATTTACAACTGTTTTTTTAGGCCCTGGTTGTTTATTTATTTGTACTTGCGGTACTCTTTGGTTAAAAGTGTAGTTAAATATTTATTTATTTTTATATTATTTTTCATATTTATTTGAATGTTTTCTGGAAATTTTAGAAAACTGTGTTTAACTTGATTATCAATTCAATTCAATTTGGGTGAAATTTAATTGAGTGGGTTATTGATCGAGTTCGACTAGCTTGATTTTTGTATAAATATTTAATTAGTCACTTTATTACCAAATTTTTAACAATGTGTATATAATAATACCATATGTATATGTTTAAAACTAAATTAGGAATTTAATTTCCATTGTTTCATTTTGGGTAGTGATATACGCAGGCCAAATTAAACATTCAGGCACTTTTTTACCATGGTTTTTTACCTTTTTACCATAACTATTTACCTTTCTACATTTTAAATAAACACTTTATTAATATTTCATTTAATAAAAAAAAAACATTTAAATAATGAAACAAAAATGCACGAGCATTTCAACAGTGCTCGTGTGAAATCAGGCGAGCACTGTTGAAATGCTCGTGCATTTTTGCGTGAGCAGAATAAATGCAGTTTATTAAATTTATTAAAAAGAAAAATAAAAAAAAAAAATTAAAATTAAGTTGCTCGCGTGGATTTACACGAGCGCAGTGGATGCGCTCGTGTAAATCCACGCGAGCAACTTAAAAGCCGGTTTTTTAAGCAATAAATTTATAAAAAAAAAAAAAAAAAAAAAAAAAAAAAAAAAATTAAAATTGAAACGCTCGCCCGATTTTACGCGAGCGAAGTGGATGCGCTCGCGTGAAATCGCGCGAGCGTTCCCAAGTATCGTTTTTTTTTCGGATTCGTAATCTACATAACAAGAGGATCGTAAAAACGTAAAAATTACCTCCGATCTGTTGACGATTTGCACGGGCTTTGCGAACGAAAATCGAAAGGGTAGAGAGAGTTTTTTGAGTTTTTTACCTTTTGTTTTTTGAGAAATGGTAAAAAATGTGCCTGAATGTTTAATTTGTGCCTGCACAAATCATTTCAGTTTCATTTTTTATTTTATTTTTGGGTTTTTGTTTTCGTTTATAGAGATATAAATAATGTAATTATGGTCACTTATTATATATTTAGTTTTTTCAAGAAAGAAAATAAAATTGTGTTAATAAGATATTAGTGTTTAGTTAATTTAAACTATAGTTATTGTAGTTTTTAAACATATTTAATGATATAATACTACATTTGAATTTTTGAAGTAATTATTGTTGTAAATGTAGGAAGAGAAAAAAAATGACTTTCCATAGATTACTCATTACATCGTTACCTAATAATTCAGCTTTCAAGAAGAAAGAAACTTCAAAGTAATAAACTTGTAATTAAGACTAAGCAATCACCAACATTAGACATTCTTCCACACAAAAGTTAGAACATGTAACATTATAAAAGCTAATGTCTATTTTGTTTATCCTTTCTTTTGTATTTTTATTCTGTTGTTGCAGCTTGTAACACGTTGCAATTTGCATTTTGTAGTTGCATGCAATTTACATTTTAGTGTTATAAGTTATAACTTGGACAAATTATGAAATTTGATGGACAAAATAACTAGATATTCAGAAATAATATCGAAAAAAATATGCAAATAAATGTATGTGATGAAATCGTACCAAAATATGTAGCAAGTAAATTAATATATTATAACAGTTTTGTGACGTTAAATATGTATTTGCTAATTATTTTTGTTGTTTGTTGAACCGGATCAATTAGAAAATATTGAGAGATATGAGAGGAGAGAGGCGTGAGAAAAAAAGGGCGTAGAATTTGTTACCTCAATTTTCAAAATAATTATTTCCATATATTTATGTTTATACATTAATAAATTAATTTAGTATATATTAGTTTATTAGTCAATAAACCTATACATATATCCTTCTAACAAAATGAATTCTCACCTATTTAAATTTCAAATAAGGAGTGTCTAGTTAGTTATCTCAATTATTAAACTACAAAAATATGAACGTTACCACGAATAGGAAAAATAGGTAAAGCCTATTGCTACTTGAACTGAAAATTCCAACAACAACCAAATTATTGAGTTGAAATTCAACTTTCCAACTAAAAATAATACAATTTCAAATATTATAAAGAAATTATAACGAAAAATAAAACACCTACTTTTTAGCCTTAAACAACGTCGAACCGCAAATATCCAATGTAATTCAGCTGCAAATCTATCGAGTTCTTCATGATTCATCGCTTCACTTCGAGAACAAAGCTTCAGGTTCGCATCCGTTATAAGGATAAAATTAGATGCTACATCTGATTATTTACATTGGGTGGATTTAAATCGTAGATATGCGTATGTGTGTTTATGTTTAGTAGGTGGTCATTTAATCAAATGTACAGATCAAATACATCCAATGTAAATAATCAGATGTAGCATACGTAGACCCAGACTACCAAAATGTAGGACATACTAAACAAAAATCTAAGTAGAGAGAGAGAGAGTCCCAACACCAACCATGCATGGTCAACATATTGTTTACCTGCAAAAACAGCAACAACCATATTCTCTCTCTTCTCTCTCTCTCTCTCTCTCTCTCTCTCTCTCTCTCTCTCTGCATTTCTCAACAAATCCTCAAAATTCATTTGATCATCCCACAAGAAACACTAACAAGTCAAGCCAATGTTGACCAAAAAGATATATATCATATAAACTAAAGTTTGGTGTGTTAGCTCATCCCCCTTTTATCCTCCCTTCCTCATTCACAAACCAAAACCTTTTCTTTCTCAATTCCTTTACTTTGCTCCAATTTCACACTTTTTACTCTATGGAGTTGCCTATCAAGACACCGGCGATAATCTCCGGTGACCGGAAAATACCCTACACAATCGAAACCAAGAACTTGACCTACACTTGCGAGATCCCGTACGACGAATTTAGTTGGCTTTTTTGTTCTACTCCCAAAACATCGCCCAAAAAAACCATCATCAAGAATGTCAATCTCGAGGCGAAACCGGGAGAAATCACAGCAATCGCCGGACCTAGTGGAGCCGGAAAAACCACACTGCTCGAAATCCTCGCCGGAAAAATCCCACCAAGAAAGTTCTCTGGCCAAGTACTAGCCAACGGCAATCCCATAAACCCTAGAAACATCCCCCGATTATCGGGATACATCACACAAGACCACGCCCTATTCCCACTCCTCACCGTCCAAGAAACTCTCACGTACAGCGCCCTTCTCCGGCTGCCAGATGGCAGCCGGAGGGCCACCTATCAAAGGGAAAAAG